AACAGAATGCATTCCTAAAAGATAGGCAGATAACTGATGCAGCACTTATTGCAAATGAACTGCTAGATGAGAGACTTAAAAGTGGAGTCCCTGGAATTCTATGTAAACTAGACATAGAGAAGGCATTTGATCAAGTCAACTGGTCCTATCTTCTGTCTACTCTAAGGGGAATGGGATTTGGTGAAAGATGGATAAGGTGGATCAAGTTCAGTCTAACCACTGTCAAATACTCAGTCCTCATCAACAGATCTCCAGTTTGCTTTTTCTCCCCTCAGAAAGGGATTAGGCAGGGAGACCCTCTCTCACCTTTTCTCTTCATCATAGCAATGGAAGGTTTGAGAAAAATACTTGATAAAGCAAGGCAATTGGAATGAATTGAAGGGTTCAAGATAAGCAACAACTCAGGGATTTCAATCTCAATCTCCCATCTGCTATACGCAGATGACACACTAATCTTCTGTGGGGCTGAAAGACTGCAGCTGCAGTACCTTAATTTAACCCTTCTTATTTTTGAATCTATTTCAGGTCTACACATAAACATACTGAAAAGCATGATATATCCTGTCAATGTGGTACCTGACTTAGATGAGCTGGCAGGTATAATGAGTTGTGGCATTGGCTCATTTCCTACTACCTACCTTGGACTACCCTTGGGAGCAAAACATAAGTCAGTGAAGGTGTGGAATGGTGTGATTGAGAAAGTGGAAAAAAGATTAGCAACTTGGCAGATGCAATATCTCTCAATGGGTGGAAGGGTGACTCTGATCAACAGTGTCTTGGACAGCATATCAACCTACATCATGTCCCTCTTCCCTATGCCAAGTAAAGTCCAAAAGCAGCTGGACAAATTGAGAAGATCCTTTTTATGGGAAGGTAACAGTGAAGGTCACAAATTCCATTTGGTGAAGTGGGCAACTGTAACTCAACCAAAGTCACTAGGTGGTCTGGGCATTAGAGATCTTTCAAAACACAACAAGAGTTTGCTAATGAAGTGGCATTGGAGATATGGGCAAGAAGGCACAAGCTTATGGAAGGAAACAGTGAAAGCCAAATATGGTCACCTAAATAATTGGAGTACCAGAACCGCAAGAGCTCCTCATGGGGTTGGGCCCTGGAAGCACATTAACAGCCTAAAGGAAGTCTTCCAACAAGAAGTATCCTTCAAAGTTGGTAATGGAGCACATGTGAAATTTTGGAAGGATTAGTGGCTAGGGAACTTCACACTTCAAGAAACCTACCCCACTCTTTTCCACCTAGCTACTGATCCTAACTCAACAGTTGCACAGAATAGATCCAACAACACTTGGGAGGTCCTTTTCAGGAGAAACATCCAAGACTGGGAGATAGAAGAAGTGCTTGATCTACTTGGAAGGTTAGCAAATTGTACAACGAGTATCCAGCACACAAGCTAAGATGGGGTACTTCTAAGGAAGGGGCATATACAGTGAAGGCAGGTTACAATAAACTTTGTGCTTTGAATGAAGTTATTGACATGTGGCCTTGGAAGCTAATCTGGAAAATCAAACTGCCTACAAAGGTCAGCTGTTTTGCATGGACAACTCTTAAAGGTGCTATTTTGACACAAGACAATCTTTGTAGGAGGAACTTCCAGATTGTGAATAGATGCCACATGTGTAAGCTAAACTCAGAATCAATCAATCACCTATTTTTGCATTGCACAGTGGCTACTGATCTTTGGCACATGTTCTTCTCAATTTTTGGTATCAGCTGGACAATACCTCAGAACATTAAGGAAGCAGTTGAAAGCTGGAGCTTTTGGAAAGTCAGCAAGGCCATCAAAAGTATCTGGAAAATGGTCCCTGGTTGCATATTTTGGTGTCTTTGGACAGAAAGGAATTGAAGATATTTTGATGGCATTTTAACTCCTATTCACTTTTTGAAAGCTAGATGTCTAGTGTATCTTTTCAGTTGGAGTAATACCTCCCCCGTAAATAATGTTATTCCCTTTTTAGACTTTATTGGCTCAATGAGCCTAGCCTGATGGCCCATTTTTTTGTGGTTAGCTCCCTATGACTAGAATAGCACATGATGTACTGGAGCTAACATCCCTTCTTTTGTACTTATTGCATCTTCCTGATGCCAGCAATACAACACCTTACTTCATCAAAAAAAAGGAGAGGTGGCAATGTAAGGAACAAGTTCATTGAGGTCTAAGCTTCTTTTGAGTGTTTGCTGTGATTGCTCTCTGTATAACTTATAACAAATTAGACACTTTCTGGATGGTGTGTATTGCTATTCTTCAAAATTGTACTCTCTCCGTTCCGAATTAGGTGTCTGAATTGTTTTGGACACGACTATTAAGGGAAAAAATGGATTCTGTCTTAGATGAATGAAAGGGTGTCCGAAAGCTGAGGTAAAGTTAATTTTTTGAATAATTTTGACTATTTTTAGAATAAAAGTGGTTCCATTATTCTCTGTTTGATTATAGCATGACGAAAATGTATTGACAAATGCGAGAAAAAGTCTCCATGAAAGTGGAGTTGATTTTGTGACACTAAAACAGTAGCTTGACTAGTGTATCCTAGATTTGCTGTAGGTTTACTATCTTTTTTTAGATCATAAACTTACTGAATTAAGTGTTAATCCCTATAAATTCCACTCTACATAAGCTGAATTGATCGTAGCTTGGTTTATGCGAATGTGATGTTTGGTGGTTCTGCAGGTAGGTTACATTGTCATGGTAGATCCTTCAACAGGAACTAGAATGAAGTTATTGAGATTTCGAGGTGCTGCAGTTGTTGGTGTTTACCATCCTTTAATTGATGAGAATCTCATGAAAATCCTCCATGGGTATGAAGTTTAATCGGTTTTGTGGTCCATACATGCATCATAACGGCACTCATTTTAGGTCCACAACTACAGTTATCTAACCTTGTGATTTCTCCTTTTCTTTATTTCAACAGGAGGAATAAAAAGGTTTATGCATGGACTGTTGATGATGAGGACTCAATGAAGAAAATGTTATTTGAGCGGGTGGATGCTATTGTTACAAGCAATCCATCTTTACTCCAACGCCTTATGCAAGATGTGAGGACACAATGCTTTGAGGAAGGTTTTTCTCTGTCCACTTGAGGACAAGTTATATTTTTCAAAAGATAGATAAACCAAAATTTGCGCCCTGCAAGTGAAATGGGAAAAGTAAACCAGGGAATGCAAGCGGGAGAGGCTTCGGTTTTACAAATGCAAAATATTATTTTCTCAAATAGTGTGTGTTTAGAAGACAAAAAAAAAAAGAAGAAGGATGGACACAGGACGACAACACCAATCAGCTAATATACAGCATTAAATGTACTTCGATTGCATTATCAGCTTGACATGCTGGAGCAGCGCCACATTTGCCAGCTACGGGTTGGATGATGCTGAAATGTATCACAGAAGTTAAAGCTTTAGGAGAGATTGCTGATAGCTATGGTTAAAAGGGCTTCTTGTAATGGTACTGTCAGGCTATTAGCAGGCCAGCTATTTGAAGTTAAAATGAAGAAGGTTGGGAATACTATAATTTTCTGAAGACGATGAGATGATTGTTGTTCTACTGCTATGCTCTTTAAGCAATGTATGCCCTTTGCTTTCTGATTCATCTTTTATCAGCTTGGTTATTAGGAACGATACGTTATATCTGCTTGTTCCTCTTTCATTCGTAAATTAGCGGATGAGCAACTTTTCTGGAAAGGAGTTTACTTGTATACACGACAGTGCTATCAGTGCATTTTAGCCTATTTGTTACATTAAATGAATGTACATTGTGCAAAATGCGGGTATTTATGGAGTGTATGCGAGTGGAATTTATGACACGATTAGAAAAGTTCACATTACGAGCCCCTTATCAGTTGATTTAACAGATAAATACAAGTCTAGTTTAGATGGCCCCTTTTCCATGTCATGTGGAAGAATAACAAAAAGTTAAGTACATTGTTGCTTGAGATCAGGAAGTCTTTGGCTTTGGCCTTACGTATTGTATTTGCTTTTCAACTTCGAGCATAAATAATAGTATTACCTCCGTCCAGTCTATGTGAACATATTTCTTTTTTGGTCCGTTCCAAAAAGAATGATCCCTTTCTAAATTTGAAAATAATTTTGCTTAAACTTACAGTTCTACCCTTAATGAGAAGCTTTTATAACCATAAAAATACTCTGGACTCCTTTTTGAATTGTTTAGGATCATAAATTTTAAAATTCTTATTTTTTTTCATAAATTTCATGCTCAATCAAACGTGGGAGCGGGGATATCAGATTCCACTGCCTCTTTATCAGCTTTCTCTTGTTTCGCATTATAAACAAAGAGGGTGTTTGGCTAAGCTTATAAGCTGGTCAAACTGACTTATAAGCACCTTTTGGCTTATCTACGCGTTTGATAAACACTCAAAGTGCTTATAAGCCAAGTGCTTATAAGCTAAAATCAGCCGTAAGTCATAAGCCGGTCACCTCCAACTTATGACTTTTTAACTTATAAGCACTTTTAGTTTGACCAACACTTTTACTAGTTTATCNCGGTCACCCCCAACTTATGGCTTTTCAACTTATAAGCACTTTTAGTTTGACCAACACTTTTACTAGTTTATCCTTAATAATATTTTCTAATTCACAAAATACTTTTCCCAAAATAAATTTCTTAACTTTCTCTTCATTCCATATTCGTTATTAATTCTTTTCTTTACAAAGAAATTTTTAATTTATAATCTTTTGAAAAAGATTCAAGGGTATTTTAGTCATTTTAACAAAAGAATAGCTTATCAGCATTTTTTAATCAAACACATCAACAGTTTCAGCACTTTTATCCAAACACGTAAATACTTATTTTAAAAATCAGTTTCAGCATTTAAAAAAACTTTTCAGCACTACAAGTTTATCAACTATTTACAATCAGCTAATCCAAACGCGCTCAAAGCTTTCTCAACTCATACGTTTCCCCAACCAGCATACGACATCGTTTTGTTCCTTCGCCATGTGTAATTAATAGTTGGAAAAAGTCCATATAGGAATCTCATTCAATTTCAGGTCGTTGTGTTTAAATCCTGAACGTGATTGATTCTTTTTGCTATTCCTTTCCAGCGCGATCCACCATCTATTGCGACGCCATATCATATGAGTCATTTGGTTCCAATCAGTTTGAGTTGACCATTGAGTGTAAAGTAGAAGAATTGATAGTTAAGAGGTCTTCAATATAATGTTCAAACAGATTGGATTGAAAGTGGGTCATTGGTCTCACAAGAAGATCGTTGATCCTCTTCTCCAAATCCTCCGCAGGTTACGCATTTTCCCCTTTCTATTCCTCAATGGCATCTAACTTTACACTTTTACTGAAAACAGAATTCACTACTTTTTAAACACTATTTGGATCACATAGAGTTGCTGATCTGGCGGAACTTGTGATTGAATGAAATCGTTTTATTGATTTGTTTTGAAGGGGTGCAGAGCCAAAGCAATTGGCATTCTCTGGGGCTCTTGGCGTTACACTGGGTATCTTTCCCATCGTTGGTATCTCTTTCATCCTCCTCGTTCCACTTTATTTGACACTCCATATGACTAATTTTCAACTTTCCACAATTCTAATTCACTTAATTATTAAATTTTATACTTTGATATGGTGCTTTCTCTATCAAATTTAACCTTTTAACTATACTCCTATTATTTTGAAATTTTCTTCCACTACCACTAACATAATACACTAGTCAAATTTTAAATACCGTGTCAAGTCAAATGACGCCACATAAAAGTAAAACAGAGGCACTAATATATATATTTGTCAATATTAATTAAATGGATTTAGTCTTTTATACCTACCAGTTTATTTTAGCTCTTCCTGTGAAAGCATTACATCTTTACTGCCTTGAGTTCATGGAAAACATTTATCTTGTGATCAGTTAATTTCTTTTCAAGTACATTGAGAAACTTTAGGTCGTGAGCTTGCAAGCAAGTAGGGTACAAAGATGGTGATAATGTTGATGAGATGAATCCATAGAAAAAAGTGGAATATGGCAAACTGATGAAAAATCAAAAGACAATTTTATCCCACTAAATTGAGATGTCCACTGCAAGATCTCCATGCCAACTGATGGGGGGATTTGGTGCTTTCCAAATCAAAACATACCAAAAAGTTGGACAATATTTTGAGTTTGGTTGTATCTTGAGCTCATAAAATTGCAAAACTAGATATGAATTCCCTTTGCAAAAGACAAATTTTCATTAGACTTAAAATATTTATTCTAAAGTTGCAGAAACCAGATCAATCTAAAAGCCGATTCTGAAGGAAAATCTGGTGATTGGTAAAGGATATGACATTGCAGCTACCAGCAACTAAGTTGCTCGGACACGGGTGCGTATCTAGAGGTCAGATCCTTCGAGATATAAATTCTAAGATTCGGGGATACGGATCCTAGTACGGATACGGGTACGGGGATCCAGTTAAAAATAATTCAAAAAATAAAAATATAAAAATATCTCTAAATTATGAAAATTTTTGTAGAATACTTATGTATAGCTTGTAAAGTGTGGATTTCTTTTTTATTCTCAAGTTGTAGATAAGTAAATGATTGATTTCCTAAATAAAGGTATGCTATTTTCTTCAAATTTACTCTAGTTTGTTCTGATTTTGGGAATCAAATTGTATCTCGTCTCGAATTTTTTCATCTGTCGTGGATCCCATACCCACACCCATACTAGTGTCGTATCGACACGGGTGCGGCACCTAAACTGCCGTGTCGGAGCAACTTAGACCAGCAAGCATATAACATCATAAGATTTATGAGCCCGACTTTTATAGGGATGACTTTAGGTCTTCGCAAATATTTTCTAAAGGTCATTTAAAAGTTTAATTTGCTTTTAGTTAATGATTCCCTTTAAGTGAAATTGAAATGTATGTGAAAGTTCTAGATACGAGCAGAAGGATTTAGTAGTAATAAATCTTGTATGTTGGGTGTAAAAATGAAGTGAAACGTGATCTTTACAAACAGATTTGGCGACAAATACTTTTACAAGCAGGTGAGTTGGAATTCACAACAGATAGGACTACTGACATGCTGAAATTTGCAACATCTTAATGAAATAGAGTGGAGAGCATACTTTTCTGCGAAGCTATTCTTTCAGCTAAATATGGCACATCTATTGACAATACTTCCTAGTCATGAACTACAGTGAAAGATGAAATACATATGTGGATTTTTTGAGTTATTCAAACTTTCATTGCCTAGCTCAAAACATCCATCAAGATGGAAAAACTTGAATTGTATCGATCCTGTCAATGGAATCAGCATAGACGTCTTTAGGCATTACACTGCAAGTTCCGATATGGTTTCTCAGCTTTTTGGCTAAAAACTAATTAACTGGATAGTTTCATTTCCTATAGTTGCCTGATCTACAATCTATTTTTCTTTGACAGGGGTCCCTGTATTTATGTGTGGGTTAGCTATTGCAGTACTTGGATCCTCGTGTCATGCACCAACTGTGTTCTTGGCCAACTTCATTGCTACTCCAGTTGAGTTGAGGTACTGAACAGAGGGGCTTTGGCTAGAACAGTTCTTATTTTTCTACAACGCCCCACCCAAGTTTAAGTAGTTTGTTCCAAATCCTTTTTAATGATTGAACAAATATCACCTGACCCTGAATTATGAGATATGGATTCCTATGACTTCCCTCCCTTTCAATTTATGTGGTAGTGTTTGACACAACACAATTTTTAAATTAAAGTGGCATTTTGCATGAAAAGGTTTGGATAAGTGACTTGCCACTTGTCATGATTAAAAGGCTACTTTTATCCGATAAATAGCTCTTATCATTGACAATCATATGCAAGAAGAAACCTTCTTCAGCCAATTCTTTCTCACGTCCAATTTTCTTCTAGAGACATTTAACTGCTTTTCTGTTATTCTCCATTTCTGACTAGCTGGTTTGTTATTTAAATTTTGATGTTCATGTTCCCTCTCTGTTAGAGGAAGGCTTGTTTAATCCTCAGGAAACTTTCACATTGCTGAAATAATTTCTTAGCCAGTGCCTAGCATGACTCAACCAATTTGTATATCTGCTCATAAATAAATAATGTAGTAATATTGTCTTTCCTCTCAACATAATATTTATTTACCTTTTCCCTTATATTTTCCAACAGTCATTACGGGTAAAATTGAAAATTTAAAGTTAAAATATCTCCAAATATAAAAAAGGTATCATTCTTTTTGGAACAAACTAATGGAATAGAGGGAGTATATCTTTTAATATTTGGTTCTGCCAGAGATGTTCTTGTTGCTCAGACTTCTTTTTTACCATTTTCTGAGTAGATAGACACGAAGAGTTCTGTTTCATGTAAGAGATTGAGGAATAAAATAAGTCGATGCATATATATCTGCACTGTCACACATTTTGCTTCTGTTTCACTATGCCTCATGTTTGAATAGAGCATCTGCAAATATCTGTTTGCTGTTCTTCTTTTATATACTCCGTAAAAATGCAAGACGTTCTTTTCATGTATATGAATTTTCTACCCATGTGAGCAACCACTTCAATTTCAGGAGAGATTTTTGTCTTTTCTGTTTATAAAACTTGATGTGGCAATGAAGCAATTTCAGCTCTTAACTATCAAACAGAATACAAATCTAAGCATTCAACTTAAGGAAACAAAAAATATGAGCATTGACATTCTTATGTAGGTTCTCTTGTATGCTCCTTGTACATGGAGTTAGTACCTGTTTGTCAATAAAATTTGCATGATAAAGAAGTAATGGGGACAAAATGCACAGACCTTATTATTTGGCTTGGGCTGAGGGATCATTATTCCTGCCTGTGATGTTTACAAGGGGTATGATCAACTTCTGTTCTCAAAAGTCTGAACCTGTGATGACTTTTTCAGCAGGATGTTCTTGGCGGATTCCGTTATGCCAGATGCAGGTCTACATGCATACTTTATGTGTGCCTGTGTGGAACATAATGTAACATTTTTTTTTTCCGGGGGGGGTTTTGTTGGAACAATGAGATAAGATGGAGGGTTGTCTAAATGAGTGGTGAATTGAGGTCTATAGTGAAAGCTATTAATTGCTTTCATACTGATTTTCCAGTCTTCCTCTTAACCATGTTTTTTCATTATATTTTTTCATGATACATTCTTAATATCCTCAATGCTTGATGTGCCTCACTTTGCAGTTTGGTGATTCCGTTCCTACGTTTAGGCGAAGCTGTGAGTGGTGGATCTCATTTTGCTTTGACCTCTGATGCATTAAAGAAGGTCTTGACTGGTCAGGCTTCGTGGGAGGTCTTGCTGAGCATTTTCCATGCGGTGAGTAAAGAAGCTTCATTTCAAGCATTTTTCTCTTCCCTTTCTTTCTCATGTCAGTATCTACTTCTGATTGTTGCACTGATGATCTACTTCTTGAGCCTTCAATCCACAGTCAATATTTGCTTTATACATTGAGTTTGAGTTTTTTCAACAGAGATGGACTTGTCAGTTTTCTTTGATTGTGCTAAGAAAAGCTGTATTGTGGTGTGGCGATAATTAATTACTTTGAAGTGAAACAAGGTTTCTTTTTTGGTTTTCCAATAGATTTCACACTTTTCTGATCCTGTTTGTTGACCGTTCACGAAGTCAATAGTTTCCATGCATATATGTTTTAAATACGTACATATGACTTGCCAATGGAACATGCATTATTAGCATCGTTATGGCTGTGATATTTAGTCACTCAGCATGCGCCAAATTTTTTATCGGTAACTTTGTTTAAGTTCCAAGACAAACCTCTATAGAAAAATTAATAGAACAGGGTGTCTTTTGTACAATCTCAATTCTGATCCTGAATACTTCCCATCTGCTCCTTCGTATCTCTTCTCTTCTTTTTAGATTAAGGCAGGAAAAAGATGTTCTTCTGCTGCTGATTTTCAATTTCTGAACTTATGAACTATTTTACAGTTGTTGGGCTGGCTTGTTGCTACACCATTCATCCTGGCAGGGCTTTATGTACTGTTTTTACCATGTTTCACATTGTTGGTTCGTAAATTCAGTAGCGGTCAACCAATTAAAATCAATAGTGTTCCTTCAAGTCCGAAGAAGATTGTTTCTTCAAGCCCAAAAAAGGCTGTTCAACCCCTTACAGAAGTCAGGGTTAAAGTGAGGGATGTATAATGTTCTTTGAAACTAATGTATTAGCTTCTCTTTAGTAGTTCTTGTAATGGAACATCAAGAATTCGGGCATTTCTGTACATGTATCAAGTTTAAAATTCCAGTCTCAGAGGAATTGGCATTGAAAACTGTTACAAGTGATATTGAAATTATGGTGTCTATTTTGGTTATCCTACTACAGTAAGCAAGTATTTTCTGTAAATTTAGCAATATATTTAACGAGCATTTCTTGCAATCTATATAATATTTCTCAACTGTCTCCCATAAGGCCACAAAGAAAGGTAAAAGGGAAAAAAGAAATGTCAAGAAACTGTAATGTTTCGCAACTTCTTTTTACCTGTTTTGAATTTGTAAAGAAAGAATTACATGAAAATATAGTTGACCCAACATTATAACCAATGTTGGCTCATAATTTTAAATCTTACCCAACTTAACCTATTTCGTATATATCTTGAAAGTGCTTCCGTCGGCGTTGATGATGAAATCGATAGCATTGCTCAGTGGAGAGATTAAAGCTAGAAAATTCAATTTTCGATTTGATGAGTGTCAAAATTTAGAGTTGAAATTTTTCGAAATCATGATTTTTTGTTGGATGAATACATCTGGATTTTGTACTAAAATTGGTCTATTGTTGCGGCGAGACTCAGAACACTATTGAAGAAGCATCAGTACTCGAAGTTCAACTCAGATCTGGATAACCTTACTCTAAAACGATTAGGTGTTAAAAATTATTGAAAAAGCTTGTAGTAACTTAAATCAAGAGTGCTAAATTGATTGGGTTTGATTAACATTGGTTTTAGGAAGGAAATTTTACCTCATATACCAAAGGTATACACCCTATTTATTATAAATCAAAATTATTTTAAAATATTATTTTCTATAGCTACCTTTTATATTTTATAACAAAATAAGTATTTATGGTATATACTACCATTGAGTCATGAAATATACTACCATTCGCTCAAACACATTGTATTTTGTATAAATACACTTTTTAAGCTTGTGTTTATGTATTTCGAATGTCTGTATTTTTTTAATACAGCTGAATACACATGTACGGTATGCATGAGTACATGATATGAACATTGAAATACACTGAATACAAACATTAAAATAGAACAGAATATAAACAGTGAATACATTTAATTTTAAAATACAGTGAAAGACACTGAATACAAATAGAAATAACAGTGAATACAACCAATGAAATACAACAATAATAACATGCATTAGGAATAGCTAAAATATTGTTAATACAAATACATTTGAATACGTTGAATATAAAATAGCGAATACAGTAAATACAAACGTTGAATCTAATTAATGCAACAATAAAAAAAAAATGAAACACACTAAATCCAAAAGTTCTATACAACTAAAAATCATTCTAATTAGTTGGATTGATAATGAGGCATGTTAGAATTGATTTTGTTGAGTTATATTAGGAGTTATCACGCTAATTGATATTATTTTCGTTATTAGACAGATGGACATACATATTTTTAAGGTGATTGTCGTTACTGTATTCATGAATACATGGAGTGAATACATGTGAATACATGCATGTACAACTGGACTGCCCTGATTTTAGGCGCTTTTTACTGATGTATTCATGAATACAGCAGCGCGAATACATGTGAATAGATGCGCGTACAACTGGACTGCCCTGATTTTAGGCGGTTTTTGTTGTTGTATTCATGAATACATGGCGTGAATACATGTGAATACATGCGCGTACAGCTGGACTGCCATGATTTTTAGGCGTTATTTGCTGCTGTATTCATGAATACAGCAGCGCGAATACAACGGATACATTACCGTAACAGCTGAATAGTAGCTATAAGAAGTAATTACGTATATGATAGCTATAGGAAGTTAATAGCCACTAAACAATAATGGTTTCTGAAAATTCCTCTTTTAGGAATCATACCTGTTGAAAAAGGAAGTTGAAGTTGAAATTTAATTTTTATATACAATATTATACAATATATTTTTTGATCCGAAGGACCTCAATTCTATAGTTAAGATATCTCTAAAAAAGATGGAGTTTAATCATTATGCTCCCATAGATTAAATATGCTCATGACTCGTAGAACCTATGAACTTAGGGCTCTAATACCACTTTGTCATGACTCAAATCCTGTCAAGGTCATGATGGCACCTAGCACTGCCGGCTAGACGAACCAAATCCACCAACACAGTAATAACAATTTGCTTAAACAAGAGCAATAATAATATCTGAGATCAAGTATAGATAAATAATAATAAATATGATACAGTACGAAAAAATACTACTACAACATGCCCAAAAACTGGTAATATGATATCATGAATGACCACCACTGAATAATAATACAATTGACTGAAACATAATATAAATATTGTCTAAATGAAGCAACGATAATAACTAGATAAAAGAAGGTAACTCCAAGGAACTGCGGATCTAGCAAAATGACTCACATTTGAGTCCCCAATAATAGCTAGATAATTTTCTTAGCAAAGATTTTCTAGGCACTTTTTTCCTTTGAGGAAATCCTGAATTTGTCTCCGCAAAATCTTGAACAATGCCTCCACAAAACCTAGATTTTGGGCCTTGAAGAACTCTTTGACTCTTGGGTAGAAACCTAGGTTTTAGGAATTAGAAGGTGTTAAACAACGTTAATCTAAAGTTTCTAACTTGAATGCATAGTAAGAATATTACCTTGGGTGGATTAAAGAAGCTTTAGGTTGTTCTTATCTCAAAAACCTCTCCAAATCGCTGTAGAAATAACTAAATTTTTTGCGCCTCGAAGTACTCTTTTATTTTACGCGTTTTAAAGTCACACATGCCGAAATTTGGCATACCATGTCGTCTAAGGTGCAGTAAGAGGGATTATTATTTTTGGACCAAATTTAGACTATAACGCCGCTCCATGCGTGGCCCCGCGTGCCGCGCCAATATATTTTTTCGGAACCAGATTTCTGCTCTATTATCCTTAAGTGAAAATATCACAATTTCTTGTAAGAGTGTCGGAATAACGAAAAATTTGATGTTCTGGAAACTAGACTAAAAGAGATTTCATTTGATATATGGTTCATAAATCAATTCATTATATATAAAGAGATATGATCGTTTGAATTATGTTCGCTTTCTTCTCTTAAATATTTTCAGTTTGTTTCAAACTACTTGTCCTCCCTCGTGAATGTCTATATAACCTTCCAAACATAAGATTTAGGTATTATAAAACTTCATAACTTTCCAGACACCCGTATGTCCAACTTAGAAATTGAACGAGGACGAACACTTAATGAAAAAAATTTCGGGACAAGGTTTTTTTGACGCGTTGTTCACCTATTCAAGTCAATCTAATACATATACGTCTAAAGAATCACAGTTAACTAGAATGCATGAATACTTACTGCATAATAATCAAGTAAAATAATTAGCATATGTCTATTCTAATCGAGAATCTATTCTCTGATGCCCGGGATAAAGAACTTACTCTATTTAATCTTATATGCAATCTAAAGTTCCTACTTTCGAGTTTAATTATAAATTCATGGATAGTACGCCGTAAAATAATTAAGAACATAAATAAATAAATAAATAAATAAATAAATATGATTGTATACGGTCGAAATAGATTTCGGCCTTCCTACGTTCGATCGAGTTCGAGTGTTAAAAAGTCGGAACTACATTTTCGGGAGTGAGCTCTGAAGTCGGTATTAACGAGCCTCGAGCCCGAAGGTCGATCGAGGGGTCGGCTCGATAACCCTATCGAGCCCGTAGCCAAATCGATCCGCAAGGCACTACTTCGAGGTCGGAAATGCGCGACGCCCATCTCGAAGGTCGGACTCGAGCCAAGACCGAAAGGCCCAACCCAATAACGAACTCGAGCCAGTATCGAGCTCACAGACAAGAGCCGTTGCGACCGCACCAAGAGAGAGAATCTTGGCAGGAATCAAGGAAGAGACAGGTCATTATGGGCCTTCCACTATATGTTTTATTTTATTATTTTTTGTAATAATCCTCTTCTATAAAAGTGGAAATCCTTGTAAGCTAAAGGGCAGAATGCATTGTAACAAAAGATCACTTCTCATATTGAAAGATAGTTCCTCATGTTTGTTTTATTTTACCTTATTCATTCATTTGCTCAATATTCCCATTCTCATAGTCAAGAATATACGTATCTCTATTTCCCTACACGATTTATATCGAATTGTATCGCATATCCTTAGAACCACACACAAAATTTAACGTTATCCGATTTTTCCGGTAATCAATGATATAATCAAGTAATCAAAGCAACCGTTCAATGTCAACAATCAAGAACTCCCCATAACTCCAGCACACGGGAGTTTAGCCACTCATAGTTATATGATCAATCACAATAGTGTTTGAAAGCATAAAACTATAAATACTAGTTAAAGGGAAGAAAAATGCTACGATTTTGTGCCTCACAGTGCGTCGCAGCCCTTGTTGCCACCAAAATATGTTCAACCCCTCAAAAACAAGTTTAGTGGTATTTATAAGGTAGGGTAAAGTCTAGGGTGAAGTAACCAAGTCCAAAACTGAGAAGAAAACGAAACAACTTCGGATGGACACGCCACTGCGTCGCGCCATGTGCGGCCCTCAAAATGTATCGCCTCACGCTATGGAGCCCGGATGCATTGGCGCGCCTGGCTCAGCCTCGTGGTGTTCCGGGTGGTGAAATTTCATTGCCTTGCGGCGTTCTGGGCGCTAGAATTTTGCTGCCTCGCACCATTGTTCTTTCGTGCTCTAAACAAATGAAGAAGAGAGACTTAGCATGTAATAAAAGGAAGAAAAGGAGGGAAAGAGCCGAAAAAGAAGAAGAAGAGGTGAGGCCTTAGGCTCAACTGAAAATAAAGGAAATCTTATCGAACTTGCATTCATGAGGCCAAAGAAAGCCTCCAAAGGGAAGGCTGAACCAATGGCACCCGCTTTCACTTCGTGACTTTTGGGTGCCACTCTATTCATATATATGTTTCTTCACAGAGATATTATGTACATAGTAAAAATTTTAGCGAAGCGAGCGGGTGCCGTGGTACCCTTACCTCATAAGGTAGATCCGCCCCTGTGTGCATCGGGTAGAAAATGAAGAATTTGGCCAGATATCCTCAAAGCTTGGCCTTAAGTCGATAGACGGTTAGGCGGGGAATTGAGATCAGTGAGAA